TCCAATTAAAAAAAATAAAGTGAAAACTTATTTAAAAAAATAAACAAGACAGTAAATGAAAAATTTTACAGTAATTTAGTAAATTAAAAATTTATATATTCAAACAAACATATAACTACTGTAATTTCATATCTTGAAAGTAAAATATTATCTTATAAATAAATACTTTCATTGATGTATGATAAAATTTAACATTGATATTTTATTTATTTATTTAAAATAAGATAAAAACAATTTTATTTTAAATGTTCAAACTCAACTTTAAAGGCTGTGATTAAAAATTTATAAAATAAAGTAAATTTGTTTGTTGGTAAAAAATTAAGTATATTTTGAATATAAAATTAACAAAAATTAATCTTGATCATTTAAATTCTTATTTTTAAAATTTCTATCTTCAATTCAAATAAATAAATAAAATATCAATATTAATTTTTACTGTGTATCAATTTTTATAAAATGTTTAAAAAATATCTTTTTATTTTAAAATAATATTGACTACCTTTATGATATAAAATTACGTTAGATATATGTTTGCTTGAATATATAATATTTTAATCTTTTAAAATTTAGTATATTTTTCATTTAATGTCTCATTCAGTATCAAGGGTATTAAATAGTTATTTTGTATTTATTAATTATTTTAATATTTTATTATATGTTTTGTAATTTTTTTATTTAAACTTATTTTCAAATTATTTCATCTAACATTTTAAAATATTATTTTATTAAGTATTTGGATATTTGCGATGAACATATGATACAAATAATTTAAAAGTTAAAAATTAATAAATTTTTTATAAAATTCAAAATATTTTATATGGATTGTGATATTAATTTTTCAAAAAATAAAAAAATGCAATTTAGGATATTGTTAGAGTGGGGTTTTGGAAACAAGTGAGGGGATAGCATTTTTTAATTTTAAATTAAAAAATTATATATTAATTATTATGATAAATGAATGATTAATATATCAATTTTTATTTTTTATTTTAAAATAATATTAATTTTATATATTTATTCAAAATACAAAATTTACCTTCTTCTTCCACACTACTAAAAAGTTTGTTTATACAGACAGATTTACAGACGGATTTTTAGAGCATTACAGACGGTTTTTTCTATTACAGACGGATTTACAGACGGATATAAATCGTCTGTAATATCCTCGTCAGTAAATAATTACAGACGGATTTGAAAATCCGTCTGTAATCCGTCAGTGATATATTTTACTATAATTGATATTTTTTTATTTGTATAGATAGTTATTTCCTACTATTCTTAATTATCACAATTTATAAACAAAATAGAAACTATAGATTCGGCATCTAAACATTCCAAAATGATTTATAAAATATAAAATTTAAATGTTGTTACAAAGGAAGAAAAAAAAGCATATAAATAAATACATTTAAAAATAAAATACAAGTCTTCATCAGGAATAATCTATATGGTCAGAATCCGAAGGAGCATCATCATCAGTAGAAGAGGAGTCAGTAGAAGAATGATGCATGGAGGTGAAAACCGGTGGTGCTAGAGCTGGTGGAGGAGGAGGAAGAGGTGTGGAGCTACTTGCTCTCATGAGCTCAAAATAAGCATGCATCTGCTGCATTTGCATATGCTACTGCGTCATCTGCTGCTGGACCTCCCTTTGCATTCTCGACGCGACCTTCTTCTCTATCTTCTTCTCCATTTTCTTTGCCCACTTCTTCTTCCATGCACTTTCTTTGCTCTTCCACATCTCCTCATTCTGCTTCTGGAGTTCTTCATTGAGGGCATGGACCTGAGTGCGGACCATGTCCTCCACATCCTCAGGTGCAAGAGAAGGGGCATCTCCAGTGACAGATGCAGGAGACATGGAGTCTGCAAAGCGGCCTCCCATGCCATAAATGCGACCTTTATAAAGGCCACCCACTGTCTGTGACCACATAGCATCCTCATCTACTGACTCTGAATTATGAGAATATGCTTCCTCAAGCCTTTGAATATAGTCATCCTACAGTTCAGTTCAGATAATTAGATATTAGTTTGGAGAACTATTTAATAAGTCGCTAATAATAACATATATTATCAATAACTATGACTTACATATGTGGCCTGAGATCGTGTATCAACCCACAGGTTTTTGTCCTGCCTGCGAGTGTGTGTCTCTTTAAACAACTCTCCAGTAGTAGGTGGCCTCTTCAACGACTTTTCCTGCAATTAGAAATAAATCACAATCTCAAATATGAAATTATAGATAGAGTAAACTGAATTTTAAAATCACTAATTAATGTAGCCCATTGATCAAATGAACTCTGACTTTGATTGCCTTCTGACTTTATGCTTAACATTCTTATTGCTAAAGATAACTCTGAATGCACACACCCATCCTATAAAGGCTTGTTTGCTGCTTCTAAAACATTATAAAACTTTGCAGCCTCTCCATTAGGTTCTTGTTCAGCTTCAAAATCATGAAAAATTCCAAATTGAGGACCAACAGCATCATAAACCATTTCTTGATAACGACTATTGCTTTCTTCCCAACTTACATTACCTACATGACCACCTGATTGTAATATATTTGAATTACCTACTTGATTTTCTAAATTAACTTCTTCCCCATGCTCAGTCCATATCCAATAATCATGTTTAAATCCAAACTTATACAAATCATATCTAATTGAATCAATATCCAAAAACTTTCTACACTTGCACTTAGAACATGGACACCTAACGACCTGATTGGTGATGAATTGCTGCGAATTACAACAGACGCGTATAAATTCCTCTACACCCTCAAAGAATTCAGGTTTTATTCCCCCCGACTTAGGTGCAACCTATCATACATCCACTGACGATTTCTGAGAAACATCTTCCTCAAGAACTATATAAACCTAATACAAATATACAATGTGGTATCAACCTTCTAAAATACATTACAGAAAATTTTAATATAAATTTTGGCAGAATCTCCCCTAATACATGTTAATTTCCTTACATTTGTTTACTATTTTTTTACAAAAATGAAAATTTCACCTAAAATCAACTAATAAATTATATAACAATAAATTATTCGATACATCAAACACAAACACATCACAATCCTAAACCGTTCTAGAGCACATCCCCTTGTAACTCCACAACATGCATATTCTACAAACTCCACAAACACAAACAATCCCACAGCACACAATAATCAGGTTCGGAGAAGGACCTCTACGCCCTTCCCCCCAGTCATACAATCTCCAATCCTACAACTCTATCTTAGAAATTTTAAGTCTCTAAAAAACATAAAAAATTAAAAAACTAAACCGATTAAAAGTTAGAGTATCGTACCAGGAATACAATGATGCAAAAAAACTTTCAAATGGTTGCTCCAATAACTCGCAATGACCAAAACACTGAGCTCTTAGAGAGAGAGGGGGGGGAGCGAGAGAGAGAGGGTTCTGATGGGGGAGGGGAAGAGGAGACGCGGTTTTAATGGGTTTCAGTCATTACAGACGGAAAAATCCGTCTGTAATAGGTTTAATGAAACGGTGCGTTTCAGGAGGCACATTACAGACGGATTTTTCCGTCTGTAAATGCGTCAATCCCATTTACAGACGGAAAAATTCGTCTGTAATGTGCCACCTGAAAGGTCGGCTAAAACTGCCATATTTACAGACGGGAAAATCCGTCTGTAATTTCCCGCTATAATATTTCGTCCTATTTTCAAATTACAGACGGAAAAATCCGTCTGTAATTACTGTCTATAACGTTTGGCGCCAAATAGCGGGCAAAATACAGACGGATTTACAGACAGATTTTTCAGAAAAAAAAAAAATTATTTCACAAATTCGTCTGTAAAGTCGTCTGTAAAATCCGTCTATATTAAGCGCTTTTCTAGTAGTGCCATCTTTTCACAATACTCTCTTTCTCCTTAAAATATTTTAAGTAAGAAAAATTGGTCAAAAGACTATTTCTGCATAATCCAACATAAAAGAATAACAAAAATCCATAATTAATACTAGTTTAAATACTTTAAGAGTTAGGTTTTAAACAAATTTTCAATTAATATTTGTTAATTTCTCTTTAATTTCTAAGTCAATAATATAAGTGTTTATTTCTATTTTTATGAAATTTTATTAAAATTTGAAAGAGTTAATTTAATATGCCAAAATAAAATCTCACGTGATAGATTATACCTCTGAGTTTCCATCCTATCCTTTAAGTATTTTAAACATAAATTATTTATAAGTAATGTTTAAGATATTTCTTTTAATGTGTGAATAAGAATGCAAGTCAACAAATTAAAAATATTTTTATAAATATTAAAATATTCATTAATTTAAACCGACACAAATATCCGATATATATTTTATTGGTAGTTAAAGTATTCGATACGATAAATCTAATGTGTTTTAATACACATTGGACAAATATTTTCTCAAATTTTTTCTTTGGAGTGTAATATATATATATATATATATATATATATATTATGAAACAAAAATATTTATTTTTTTAGGAATTTAATAATTAAAACAATAATAACAATAAATTAACTTAATTCAGTAATTTTGTCATCATTTTTATTTATTTATATAAAAATTAAATAAAATTAATTGCTATTATTTTTATTTTTATTCATATAAAAATATTTATATCATTCAAGTAGTTGAAAAGTGAGAAATTTTTTTTGATAAAGAGTAATTTAATAATTAAGTTTAATAAAATGAAATAATTCTTTAATTTACATATATGTAAATATTAAATAAATAAAAGAAGTATATTAAATGTTTGGTAATGAATAATAGGGGATGAATAATGATTAGTTTGATTATTAAACAAAAAAAAAAGGCAACTAACACGTGGCTGTTATTATGGTGGTAAAATCTGTATAATTTGGAGGAATTAGGTCTTGGGCTTAGGTTTAATTATTACGCGTAGATACTAGTAATTGTTGTCACGATTGTTCTTCAAAGAGCACGACGATATATATATATATATATAAATGGAGACGAAGAGAGCCTTCCCTTTTTGTACAAATTACACAAATAGAGAGAGGGGGTCAGATCTCTCTCAAGGCGTTTAATTGCAGAGATCTTTTGCGTTTCTCAATATATAAGTGAGTCTGAAAGAGAGAGAACAAAACAGCTAAGTGCTAACCCTCCCCTCCCCTCCCCACCCCACCCCACTTTTTTATTTATCTCAATCGCTTTGCTTTGTCTCTTCGTCCATCCCATGCTATCTTCCTTTGTCTTCTCAGTGCCAAGCCAACTTCAGATCCATCAAAACAAACAAAACCTCTTTTTTCGTTATCTCCTTCGCACTTTCACTCTTTCACCAAAACCATAAATAAAAGCGATTGAAAGGGAAGAGTTTGCCTGCAAAAATGGGTACTGGTTGGAGAAGAGCCTTTTGCACCCGCGACCCTGAATCCACCATATCGGATAAGCAACCAAGAACCCCCAGCCCAACCCCAAGCCCAAGAACCTGCGTCCGATTGGGCTTTCTATCCGGCGGAGGTAGCAACCCACCCACTCCCAGCTTGCGATGTCGAACAATCGCCGAAGCAGCATCTCAATCTCAAACAGTTGCCGTAAATGACAGCCCCCGAGTTAACACCAAGACCACTCCTAGAGCATCAAAGTCCCCCAAAATCCTCTCTGCCTCGAATCCTACATCTCCGCGCTCTCCTCTTAAGTTGTCCCTCTTCAAGAACAGCTTCAAATTCAGGGTATGTTTTCCAAATACCGAATTTTATTAATCTCATCTTTCGTTTAGAGATGATAGTGAAAATTTTGTGCTGTGCTTTACCATCAGAGTAGCTGTGGAATTTGCTTGAGCAGCGTGAAGACGGGACAGGGTACCGCCATATACACGGCGGAATGTGCTCACGCGTTTCATTTCCCGTGTATCGCTGCACATGTGAGAAAGCATGGTAGCCTGGTGTGTCCCGTCTGCAACGCCACCTGGAAAGACGTCCCTCTACTAGCGGCCCACAAGAACCTCGGCCCAGAATTTGCAACGCATCACGACGTCGCCCAGAGGCCCACCCAAAAGCCCAATGCCAGCGACCACAAAAAGCTAGACAACCCCTCCCCCGTTGTCAAAACCAAGCACGTGGAGCCACCTCAACAACCACCAAAGCATTCTGATTCAATCAGGTCCTACGACGACGACGAACCACTCCTTTCTCCCACTTCCGGCGGCCGGATCATCCCCATTCCCGAAGCCGACGAGAATGCCGAAGACGACGACGACGACGATGCCGGCGAGTTCCAGGGTTTCTTCGTCAATCCAAAACATTCCTCCTCGTCCAAGTCCTACTCCGATGCCTCGCAATCCAACGACGGGGATTCCAGAACAGTTCAGGTGAAATTGATGCCGGAGTGTGCCGTCATATCAGCTTCCCGAATGCACGATACGTATGCTTTGGTTCTGAAAGTGAAGGCTCCGCCGCCGCCGCCTCCTCCGCGGAGCAGCGCCGCGGCTCCACTTCTGGACCCGTCGCAGCGCGCGCCGATAGATCTTGTAACTGTGCTGGACGTAGGTGGCAGCATGAGCGGCGCTAAGCTTCACATGCTAAAGCGCGCGATGCGTTTGGTTATTTCGTCTCTTGGCCCCGCAGATAGGCTCTCCATTGTGGCTTTCTCGGCTTCACCCAAACGGCTCATGCCTTTGAGAAGAATGACGGCTCAGGGTCAGCGAATGGCTCGGCGCATCGTTGACCGGCTGGTGACAGGTCAAGGGTCCAGCGTGGGCGAGGCGTTGAGGAAAGCCACCAGAGTGCTGGAGGACCGGAGAGAGAGAAACCCTGTGGCAAGCGTCATGCTACTATCGGACGGTCAGGAAGAGCGGGTTCAGAGCAGTAACAAGGGAAATCAAAGGAATTCAGCGAGCCACGTGTCGTCCACGCGGTTTGCGCACATCGAGATTCCGGTCCACGCGTTTGGGTTTGGAACGAAAAGCGGTTACAGCCATGAACCGGGTGAGGACGCGTTTGCCAAGTGCGTGGGTGGGCTTTTGAGCGTGGTGGTGCAGGACTTGAGGATTCAATTGGGCTTTCAGTCCGATTCGGCGCCGATTGAGATTAGCGCTATCTACTCCTGCAGTGGAAGGCCCACGCTGCTTAGCTCAGGGGCCGTGCGGCTTGGCGACTTGTACGCTGAAGAAGACAGGGAGCTGTTAGTGGAATTGAGAGTTCCAGCGTCGGCTTTGGCGATAGGGACCCACCACGTGATGACGGTACGGTGTCTTTATAAGGATCCTGCAAGCCAGGAGATTGTATACGGTAGGGAGCAGGGTCTTGTGGTGCCCCCGCCACAGAGCGTGCGTTGTTCCGCTACCAGGATCCAGAGCCTCAGGAATCTCTTCATAACCACTCGAGCCATCGCCGAGTCCAGGAGATTGCTCGACCATAATGCTGACTTCACTAGTGCTCATCACTTGCTTGCTTCGGCGCGTGCCCTTCTCATGCAGTCCAGCTCTGCTTCTGCTGAGGACTACGTGCGCGGCTTGGAGGCTGAGCTGGCAGAGCTTCATTGGCGGAGACAGCATGAACAGGCGCATGTTCAGCAGCAGCAGCAAATCATGGTGATGCAGCAGCGGAGAAGAGGAAGCGAGAGGGAAGTGGCACTGGTGGACGAAAATGGCGAGCCGCTCACGCCTACGTCAGCTTGGAGAGCGGCTGAGAAGCTGGCTAAGATGGCCATGATGAAGAAGTCTTTGAATAGAGTCAGCGACTTGCACGGCTTCGAAAACGCTAGGTTTTAATTTTTTTTAATATATATAAAATTGTTTCTTTTATTATATTTATAAAAAAATTGTAGAGCAAATGAGAGAGAGAGAGAAAAGAGAAGAGAATAAATGGGGATGGGGCATGATAGTAGAATGGAATGGGGACAAGGTGGTAGCAGACGGCGCGGCCCTTTCTGCATTGGAAGATGACTACAGAGAAAGGGGTGTGTTATATATAATGGGGTATGCCCCACCGTAATATGGGAGAATTTCATTGGTTGCTTGCTCCATCATGTCTTTTTGTCTCGTGCCTTTATACACAGTACTACTCTTGTTTTTAATTTTAATCATTCGCTTCTCATTATCAGAACCACCATAAACACCCAAAACTTCCCAACTGCTCCACTCCTCCCGTGCCGTGTTGGGATCCCCATTTTATGTTTTCAAGTTAAGAACTATAAACGTTGTAAATGTCCTTACCAATTTACGTAGTAACTAAGATCACTCTGTTTTCCTCTCCCCTTTTTGGATGTGGATATTGTTGTATTTAAGATTTTGGTTGTCGTTTTGACGTAGTGTGTTTTTTGTGGCTAATAATTAAAGAGCGAATATGAACGGAGCTAAAATGATTTTTGGATGAATAACATGGCAGAGGACAGAACTTAATGATGAACAAATGATTACATTCCATGGCATCATGATGCTTTTTTTCATCTTTTATCGGAGTATCTTACCTTGGCAATTCAGAATTAAAATTTGAAGGGGCCCAAAGTGCTAAATTGCAATCATAAGAGAAATACTGTTCTTCATGGCCCAAATAAAAAGATAGAGAGAGAAACACTGCTTTGCAATATGGGGGAAAATTATGATCCTTATTCATGGCAACACACTGGGATATCCTAGCTCAAAAGAGGTTAAACCAAATCCGCGTGGGGCGGAGAATTCATACTTGGTTTGGGTAAGAATCTCGCGGTTATGAAATATGCAACTCTATTTTAGTTTCGCTGTAAAGACCCGAATTAATGGCAGTGAATTTTACACTCTAGAGTCTATATTAAAAGTTGTAACTTAATTAATTTGCTAATGTTATTTAACAAATACGCAGTGATGAGTTATTTTTTGTCATCCAGCTGAGTTATCAATTTACAAGGCCTTGAGATAAATTTAACATGAATAGAGAGCTTAAGTCGAGGCTATAGGCTGCTGTTACATGATAAATATTGTATACTGGATTGCTTGCAACATTCAAAGCTCTTCTTGGAATGGTCTCTGTCTTCCCCCGTTAGACAACAAATTTCCAGCTGCTTCGTGGGCTCGGAATTACGTATTGGCATTGTAAGATTGGGTTTGGATGATAAATGGAGAGAGTTAGTTATCATGAAAGGAGTATCTTAAAACAGAGATGTCAGAAGTGGAGCCCAGTTAAGTGTCTCAGTTGTCCAATCCATCACTATCTGGCTTCCTTGTGTTGTGTTCTTATGCTAATTTAACCAAGAGCCTCAGCTAGCTCGCTGCCACTAACCAACGTTGCTGTTGGTATTTTAACTTGGTCTCGTTCAATGCCTTACCAATGGAGTGAGCTTTTATGTGAGCCTCTGTTGCGCTATAAATAAGCCATGAGCTAGAGCCTCTGCAGACGAGGACTTTAAATGTTACAGACTAAAACAAAGCATAACTATTTAAAGCAAATAAAAATGGAAAATTATGTATAAACTAAGTACTTTATTAAATATTATAATTTCAGCATATGAAATATATTCGTTACTTTCTTTATACAAAATTAAGAAGATATGTATTATCACATTATTGTATTTTTTGACGGAAACATTATAATATTTTTATGTTAATACGTAGATAATAAAAGTTGATCATTATTTTTAATATTTTATAATTTAAATACTTTTCTCTTGCCGTTATTTTCTCTTCTCTTTCATCTTGTATACAACTTTACAAAACTACTATCCCCACCAGCACCGTCACTCTCTAACACAATACCCTTTTATAAAACATAGAAACCTCAACATTATCAAGAATATCACAAGTAATAACCTTCGTCGTTGGAAGAGTCATTGCCTAAACGTTCCTGCAAATAATTTAGTGCTCGTACATATACAACCACATCAAGAGTGTCCGAAAAGCCTCTAAATCAAGCTCCAACCCAAACTCATTCATCTTGTCGAACAACTCAATTGCTGCTTCTACTTTATGAGCACCCAAAAATCTACGAAGCAAATTCCTGAATATTGCTTCGTTAACGAGTTCCCTTCTTTTAGACATTTCATTGAACACTTGGTGTAACTCTTAAAAGCGCTTTGTTTTCCGTAGAATGTCGAGGATCTCATTGTAAACATGAGAACTTGGAGCATACCCATTTGTTTTGGAGACCCAGTTGAAGAACACGTGTGCAGGTCTCCAATCGGTGTTGTCGAAGCACGTCGAGGACGAGGTGGTTGTTGAGGTCAAACCTGCACTCGTTAAGAGCTTTCATTGGGTACTGTTTTACAGTAAACAACAATATAACTGAACCTTGTAATTTTATATTAATCTGAAGATAGATTAATACGAAAAAAAATGAATTTGTATGGTTATGAAAAGGGTGGTGAAATGCAGGCGTAAAAAGATGAACGTAAACAAATTGGTCGATGAATTCACGTGGGGGACCATTGTTCTCTTTGTACAGTACTTGATGGAGATTGCAGCGTCACAAGGCATTGCTTCTTAACTCTTCTTGCGGGGAAAATGAGTTATTTAAGCTATGTTTGGATTGTCATTCAAATGCACGTCACAAGGCATTGCAGTGTCGTTTGTTGCACAGAATTCAGAGTATGAAATCGGACAGTAAAATTGGAATTGAATTTTAAAATTTTATTTTTCACGATTGGATTGGGTGTCCATTTTGACAATTTTGAAATTGAAACTGAAAATCGTTTCAATGGTTTCTGACAATTTTAGGTTGACGATAGATGGAAGTATTTTTTTTTTCTATTCTTTCTCTTTTTGTTTTTCTTATATATTTTTTATATTTATTATATGTTTAATATATTTATATTATTATTATTCTACATTTATTATAAACTATATTGTATTATTTTTTTTATTTTTACACTTGACGCAAATTATATTATTTATATTAATTGTATAATAAATTATTTAATTTTTTTCTTGAATTATAATATATTGGAAGAAATATTAAAAATTAATTTAATTCAAAAATTATTAATATTTTATGTATTAAGAATTATATTTTAAATTTTAAAAATTAAATTATAGTTGTGAGCGATCATATACTTTAATTTAATTTGTGAGATAATAGTTCATAATATAATATTAAATTTTAATAATAAACTAAATATAAAAAATAAATTTATTGTGTCATGATTTTTGAAAAAGAAATATTTAGTTGTTATTTAATTATATCATCTTTAAAATTTTATTAAATAAAAAATTAATAGAAATTAAATTATTTTTAAAAAATTTAAATCTCACGTTCATATCGTAGAATTTGATTTTAATTTAAAATTTTAATTCTTCGTTCTAATTATTTGAATATACCAAACGTAAAATTATAATTCTAAATAAATTTTAATTTCGGATGGAATTTGAATTACAATTCTTAACCAATTTCAAAGTTTTAGCTTTATTTTGATAACTTGCATAATAAAAATTCATGCATCAAATTATTGAAATTATTAAATTAAAGTTTTAATTTAAAAATGTCACTGTATGTATTTTAAAAAGTATACTTAAATTTTATTCTTTTAAATCCATGATTTGCTATTCTAACGGCTGAAGTCTTCACCCTACAAACCAAAAGGAGATGAGAATATCCGTGAGCATCTAGCAAATATTTAATATTTAAAATGTTAAAACATCAAACAATATAATTTGGATACTAAATGTTGACTTCACATTTCTTAATTTTTGTAATAATTTGAAATATTTATGTTAAATTAAAGGATTCTCACAAAACCAAATATTAAGTTTAATCACCATTTTTTAATAGTCACATAAATAATTTATTAAATAGCATAATTGATTAAAATAAATTCTTAATTTGATTGAATTTTTTTGTCTCAATCTATATGATATGCATAATATATTACACCTTCAAAAATATCAAGCAAACTCTTACTTCCTATTATACAAACCATCACTTGTTGCCCAATTGTATTATATCAAGATCGTGAAAAAAAAAATTGTGTAATTCTTTAAGAATTGTTGATGTTGTTTATTAATCAAAATTATAGTTGATTTTTTTTTATGTAAATAAAACTCTAATTCAACTCTAATTTTAATTAATAAAATATATTTGAGAAAGTGCATTTAAGTTTTGTCTAAAATATCACCAAGCTGAAGTTCTAAAATTTTGTTTTTTCAAACTAAGGACGAAAAACATTTCTCAGCTAGGGTAGCCCAAAAATGATGGGAATAATAACAAAGTATTATCCAATTTTTAATTATAAGAATTTGGATCCTTTAGAATTTTAGCATTAATTACAGCCTACAATGCATTTTAAAGTAATTTTTGTTTATACATAAAAAAAAATATTTAAGTAAAAATTAAAAATTTTACTTAAAAAGAAGAAAGATGGAGTAACGGGAAGAGAAATTGAGTGGAGGAAAAGTAGAGAGAGAAGCGGGCTTGAAGAAGAGAGAAAGAGAACGAAAATTTTGTTTTTTTTTTGTTAATATATTTTTGCTTAAACAAAAATACATTATAAATTTTACTGTTAATGCTAAAATTGAAGATCCATATAACATATAATAATGAAAGTAACCGCAAAATTAAGTACAATTATACAAATAGTCATCTAATATTAGAGAAATTAAGTAGTAATAGGTTTGTTTAATTTCAATTCTATTATATTAACATTAGCTCAAGACTCAAGCTCAAGACAAGTCAAAATGATTTATACTAATTGATTTACGTAGTTAGTAGTTGTAATTAAAGTTATCTAATAACTTTATTAATTAAAATTTTAAACAATAAATATTCTAAAACAAGTAAGATATTACATCCATTCTTTTTTATCCATCTTTTAGGGTAGTGAAAAATATAATTAATATTTTTTATATAAAATTTTTTAAAACTTTCTATTATGCCTTTTATCTTTTTATTTGTTGTCTTTCTTATTAATTTCTCCCTACTTTATAACTATCATTTCCTCTATTATTATTGGTTCCAAACAGTGTTTGCAAAATCTTATAGAAGAGTTAAAATGAGCAACCATATGTGGGAATAAACCAGTACCCAAAAAAACTTGGAACATACAAAACCAATCTTGTCTTCTAGTATAGAAGAAACAGAATTGGACAGCGGCGATATCAATGTTTCTTACGATTAATATTCCTGATACAGGGGACACATTTTAGGAAAATTTTATTAGTGGTAAATACAAAATTCATCAAACACTTGATTTTCTATAATACAAAGCCAGTTGGCTGCGGAAGAACATGACCCAAAAACATAAACGACTTAGGCCAAGCGAACGCAGAGACACAACAATCAATTGAAGATCCCCCATGGAGACTTCCAGCTGTTTAAACTATGCAACTAAATATAACATGATTATTAATCCTAAAAGGGTGTGTTTCCTCTTATTCTGATGAAGGAAATAAATCTGTATCATGAATGTATGGTGTCGGATTTCATTTCTGGTTTTTTTCAACCTTCGCTCGAATTTTCTGCTCTAAAACGGATATTTCAGTCTCAAGGTTGAACATCCTATTTAAAGCATGCATGTTCTCTAGTGTCTCACTTAGAGTCCGGCTGTCACTCCCATCACACCTTAAATGTTGCATTGGACCATGAAGCAACTTATTCACAATACCCCGACTAAGATCATCCACAGCTTTCCTAGTTTTATTTGATATATTATCACCCATCTTACCTAAGCATTTCTCAAGCTCAGCAACCCTGATTCTGTCAGCATAATTCTTCAATTTCTTAATAGTTGGAACAGTTTCCAGTGTATCCCTCCATGCTTCAAATCGTTTAGATTCTTCAGCAATGATTGCCTGTGCTTCCATTGCTTTTCGCACGCGATCCTCTTTATTGGCAGCCACAACCTCTTTGAGGTCATCAACATTGTAAACTCGCACAGACTCAAGATCTGAGACACACGAACCCACATTCCGAGGAACAGATATGTCAATGAAAAAGCGACGACCTCCAACAACTTGACTTACAGGAGGAAGGTCCTTCACATGATCTTTCAAGAATAACGGGTTTTCTGATGCTGTACTGGTGAAGACTACATCTGCTTCACCAGCACAGGTGATCATTTCTGAAAGGGGTTTGTAGATTATCTCAACATCCTTCAGTTCTTCGTGAATCGCAGCAACTCTCTCCTCAGTTCTATTGACAACAACCATCTTTTTCCAACCTTTTGCCACCAAATGCTTGATCACAAGCTTTCCCATCTTGCCAGCACCAATAACCAACATCCTGGCGTTATCATGTGAGGCTTTAGGTAGCTTCATAAAGGCCAATTCAACAGCAGCTGAACTCACAGAAACCGCCCCAGCAGCAATATTAGTCTCAGTTCTAACCCTTTTCCCAACAGTAATTGCATGCTTGAATAGCCCACTTATGTATCTCCCAAAGCCGCTAACTCCCTGGGCAACTTTGACAACTTGCTTAACCTGAGCAAGGATTTGACCTTCTCCCAAAACAAGAGAGTCAAGACCAGCTGATACTTCAAAAATATGATGCGTGGCATCTTTGTTGTACAGTAAAAACCGGTGCTCACAAAGCTCTGAAACAGGGATGGAACTTGTCTGCAAAAAATTAACAGGACATTAAATATTTGGTAATGCACTACAAATACCATCTGGGAAATAAACTTGCCACTTACTTTTGACATCCATTCCATGACTTCTTTTACACCACGGTGTTGGGACAGAGCAACAACATATATCTCCATTCGGTTACAGGTGCTCAGAACAGCTGCTTCTTCAATATGATTAAGACTACACAGCTCTTCTATAGCTCTAGGACATTCTGCTTCAGGAATGGCAAGTTTTTCACGCATTTCCACAGGTGCAGTGTGCACACTGAGCCCAATGACAACAATGCTGCTCCTTTCCTTTGTATACCCTGTTAAAGTTAATTTCACAAATTATTTAAAAGTTGCAACTAGCAAATTTCAGATAATTAACCAGTACATATCAACCAATGACAGCCATGCAATGCTGCATTCCTTTATTTCCTTTGATATAAATAATCCTCTGGACCTTGCCACAAGTCCTTAGAGCTAAAAGTCCATACACTATAGATGCATAATTCCAGTCATGGAGCACAAAAGCCCAATCACTTGAACATTCAAACTCCATTTCATTTCTTTTTTAAACGACATAAACAGAAATAATCAACAATGAAAAAAAAAAAGGAAAAATAAAATGTTAAGATGCAAAGAACTTCAATTCAACAGAGGAAATATATAAAATAACAAACTTGAATGCAGTAATCGGAACGAAATTCCCATTATTGGGAAAATGGAAATACCCAAATAACCAAATCATGAAGGCATTAACATAAAATTGAGCAGATAAGAGGAGTTACTATCAGCTGCAGAAGTCTTGAGCTGCTCAAGAGCGGAGAGAGTGTTAGAACCATCCCTCTTAAGAATTTCATCAGAGGATTGAACATCGCAGCGAATAGCCCCTTTCTGAAAGAGGGTCCTTCTGTTTGTGCGGAGAACTGATAAATGGGTAGCAGGGAATGATGCCCTTGAAGAAGAAGAACAAGAAGAGCATTGGAGCAATACAGCCTCCAATTTGGCACCGGAGAGAGTTGTTGAAACGGCCATTGGGTGCGTCAGAACCCTAACCCTATAATTAAGAGAGAAACAAAGTGGTGGGTAGGTGGAGAAAATTGAAAGAGAGAGGAGGGGCAGTAGCAAAAAGAAAGGGAAAATTGAGTGAGTAATTAGTTTGACCCTCCTCTCTCACTCTGCTCTGCGTCTTGTGTTCTGGCGTTGATACAAAAGAAAGGGTTATGTGTGTATGGGTTTGATTTGAGAGATTGCGATTTCTTCCTAGGGAGTTCTGATTGGCGGGTGTGGCACACGTTATATCCACACTCTTCAACTCTCTTCCTCTCTCTCTCTCTCCTCTTTTGATCTTTCTATGGAGAATGGACCCTACTCTGTCTTGCCTCTCAGAAAATGATGGTTCTACCCTTTCAATTTTGAGATTTTGCTTTGTCTGTTCTAAAGTACATTTTTCAAAACAAAATAAAAGCATTGAGAAAGGAAGAAGAAAAAAAAAAACAATTGGAGTTCTAAATTTTATAATGATTTTTTCACATCACTCGTCTAATTTTATGTTTTTCTTTTTTATTTTTATTATAAAAAGTTAAGTGAAGTTTGCAAATAAAATTATTATCATTTAAATTAAGCACCTCAGAAGTATCCAATCTCAATGAAAGTAAATTATAATATTCGATTGACTTTGTCAATAATATCATAAATTTAAATAACCAAATTGTGAACATGTTTGGTTCAGTGTATTGCGAAAAAAAAAAATATTTTTTAGTTTTTTTCCCCTCTAAACTCTATACATAAATGTTAAAAATACAAGGAAAAAAAAACTAAATTACAACAACTGTACATGTGCCAATTAATGAGAGTTGTTTAAATAATACATGTTTAATTCTCTTTTAAGTAATGTCTCACATATAAATCAGCATAAATAAAAAAAATATGAAAAAAATAGTCTCAGATACTGTGAATGTTCTAAACTTGAACATGAAGCATGCGTGTGTGCCAATCTAAAATTCACGTTGAAGTTATTATTAGCTAAAGGAAGAATCTTGTGTAAGATGGACTTAAGGACACAATACTCAATACCAAAACAATCTTTTCCCTTTTGTATATACCACAAAAGAGAAAAATGCATAAGTTTAATCAATGTAAACATTAGTGTAAAATAATAGACTGTACTTAAAATAAAAGACAAGAGTTAAAATAATAGTTTAATTAATGCATTTTAGTGTGAACGATATTGCTCTCTGAGATTTCAAGGTCTTTGTTTGCCACAAACTTATCTGAGAAAATCATGGTATATGTGTTTTTTGTTATTGTGTGATTCCCATTATTTCATTTGGTTAAGTATATGACTGTACTTTTAATCAATTGAACCAGCTTAGTATAAAAGTATGCTTAACTAAGCGATAGCCGAAGCACAAGTCTATAAAATTTCTAACACACACACGCATGTATTTAATTATTGTGATTTGTTTTTAATTTTTCTTTTAATGCAGATTCGTTGTCTCTGTCGTAAAAATGAATTATAAATCAAATGGATCAATTTGAACAGAGTCTAATTCAATCTTTTATAATGTTTTTTTTCTATTGAATTCATTCTTTTATGATTTGTACTGAATCAGTTATTGAGTTTATATTTTTTTTAAGTACGGTACAATACATATTCAATAAAACATCAAATACAGATAAAAAAATATAATAAAAACTTGTAAAAAATATTAAATATATCATCATAAGTCAAATGTTTCAAATTATAAATTGTTAAAATAATCTCTTTCTTTTTTCTCTTAAAATACAAATAAACGTTCATATAGAAATTCAACAATGCATACAATAAATTGTTACTTCTCTTGCAAGCTTAAATTTGTCACTTCTTATCTTATATTTTGTTTCTTTTATATATTATTTACCAAAACTTATTATTGACATAAAGGTTATATAACAACAACGAACGAGAAATTAAAAAACAAAACCAAACTAAAAAACTAATAAATAATAAAAATATTAGAACAATAAGACATAACTGAGATAAGAAGGCTGTGAAAAAATTAGTACAGTGATTCCTTAATTATCTACTTATATAAATAGGAGGATATGATATTTCCATAAATAAAATTATTTGGACATGTAAGTTTGATTTAGATTAGATTGGATTGAATTAATTATCATACTTGTATATAAATTTTTGACTCATTTTAATAAATAAAAGTAATTTTTAAAATTTGTTTGAAGTGAGTTTTTAAGTTTTGATGTTTAGTTTTGGTATTTGATATTGAATTATATCGATTTATCATCACTTTCACATTTTTATATGTGACCCAGAATTAATAATAAACTGATTGATCTGAAATGAATAATTAAATCTTTAAATAAAAATAGAAATATTTTTATAATTTATAAAATTTAACAGTTATCAAATTAAATTAAAATAATGTATCAATATTTATATACAATAATATTTATGTTTAAATAATAAATTATTTATCAAAAATTTATATTTAAAATACAGCACATTATAAATTATTTTAATATTTTGAAATGTAATCGGATTGAGTCGACTTGATTACTTGATTCTGCCTGATATTTTTTTTCTTATATTGAGTTGGATTAATTGAATTAGTGGAATTTATCCAACCCATAAAATTAACTATGGTAACTCTAATTTTGATTGAAGCCACCTAAAAGTTTGGTAAGAAGTAATTAACAATTTATTGCTTGGAGTGATCATCTTCAATTGATCAAGACAAAGAACTTCCTTTTATAGAAAAAAAAAAAGCACATTAAATAAATGAAATAAATAAGAAAAAAGAAGGCAACCATGGAGTAGCAGAGTTTCACTACCAAACCCAAGCAAAGTTGATTCAGAAATATTAGCCCAAAGCCTGCTATCAATGCCTAACATCTGTATATAGTACCGACAGTCTTGCCTTGATGCGCACAGTATTTTTCTGGTTGCAATTTTTTTTCTCTTTCAGTCTTATGAACTAAGCATTTATGTTTGCTTTACACAATCTAATGAGATGCCTCAACACATGTCTAACTGAGGACATGACTAATGCTCTGTGCTTTTCAATTTTGTTTCAATAATAATCAACAAGTTGATGGAAAATTATGATTTCAATCGACAAGTCTTTAGCTTGAACTTACCTTCTTTCTATTTTTGCATGTATCATGGGGTGTGTCCCAAGATTAATTCTTCAGCTTTCAGCCTACTCCTCGCCCACTGATTGTTCTTCTCCATATGTTACTCATGCGATCTAAAACAGTTGTTGATCTCTGTAGCCAGCTATTTTCCAACTATGCTCCATCTTTGTACATGAATTTAAAATTTAAAATAGTATAAAAATAAATAAAAGATTATGAGCTTCTTCAAGATAATATTGACATCCTTACCTGTTTTATAATTGTCGCACTTGTATTATGTTAGTAAAATTATTATAAAAAATATCTTCACAAAATAACAGAGTAACTAAATGCAACATGTATAGTAATCGTTTGATCATAAGTTTTTCAACGCAAAGCAGTGGTACACCTTTCTTTATTCACTATTATTAAGGAGACTAAAATAGTTAGTTAATATAAACAAATAATTGACCTGATTTTGCAACCCCAATTTTAGCATTTTTTTATGGTATAACCACACTTGTTGACTTGTTATTCATTATATGTACTATTTAGTCCTTCTTAACGAAATTAGCTGCAGTTTGGCAATTACTTTGTTGTTCGTTGTGATCCCTCTATGCGTGCAGAACAAATAGTGGGGTTTTAAAAAACGCTTACAAGAAAAACCATAAGAGGATCCATTCATGCGTTAACATATATTCGGTCGGAACGACCTAATTCTGAACTTTTTGGATTGCTATCGTCACATAAATTGGGTTTTTGGTTTTGGATCAACAAAACTGAACGAGCCTTCGAAGTTCCGAGTAGGACTTTTGCAAGAGTGGGCCCAAATAAGTGTTGATAAAAAAAGAACACAAATGTAAACAAAAATAAAACATCTAACAGAAACCAAGAAAAAAAAAAAGGGGTGAACTGGTTTTAAATGCTATCGTAGGGATAAATTTTAATTTTATTAAAAAAAAGAACCGGTTAACGATTCTATTTTTAAATGCTTTTTAGCTGTTAATAAATATTATAATAAAAATAAATGTCATAATAATAATAATAATAAATAAATAAATAAATATTTTCCAGATTTAAAATGATTTTTTTAACATTATAATTTTAATAGCTATTCAAACTTTAAGACCTATTAGCAAACTAGGGTTTTGTTAGAGATTATACAGATCATCTAAAAAGAAATAAACTATAAATGAGGCAAATTTCATAACTAAGTATGATGAAACGATCGTTTTATCCTTTTACCCAAAAAGAATTATTGATCATAATAATTGAATTAACCAGGGTTACCTTAACCAGGGTGAGGCGAACCACAAAGCAGAAAGGGTGGGTAAACAAAGAAGAATTGCAATTCCATAGCATATATATTCATATTCACAACCCAACATTATGATATATATTGCGAAAGACTTGCAATCGTTGTTTAGCATCTAGCAATGGCAGAAGCAGATAACAAACAAACAAGAGAAAATGGATCAGATTTCAGTTTCACGAGAAACGCTAACACTGGGCGTCGTGGATTACCCATGATCCAAACCCGCAAGAACCCAACCGATTCAGAGCAAGTGTGCCACGACGACAGCACCCCGCCGGTGAAAGCTCAAACCATTGACCAACTCCATTCTCTTCAGAAGAAAAAGTCAACCCCTTCCACTCCCGTCAGAACACCACACTCACCCTTTCCCACTGTTTCCGAAGAGGATCGCCAAAGGCAGCACCTTCAGTCCATAAGGTACTTCAAATATTGACATAATTAATAAACTCAGATTAGTGCATGATTATTTTTTGTTCTCTTCAGCGCATCGTTAGCGTCGTTGACGAGGGAGACAGGTCCTAAGGTGGTGAAAGGAGACCCAGCCACGAAGGCTGAGAAAGGGACACACACACACGTTCATCATTTCTTTGCTTCCACTTCCTTTGATGTCAGTGACAGTGCTCTCAAATTCACCCACGTCCTCTACAACCTCTCCCCCGCCGGTGATTATCACATTCTCCTCATCTTATCTTATCTTATATATACTTTATATTAATATTTAGTATTATTATATGTTTCGGGGCAGAGCTATATGAGCAAGCAATTAAGTATGAGAAAGGATCATTCGTAACGGGAACGGGTGCGTTAGCTACACTTTCGGGGGCCAAAACGGGACGCTCTCCCCGAGATAAACGGGTTGTCAAGGATGAGACCACCCAGCATGACCTTTGGTGGGGAAAGTGAGTTCTTCTTTCTATCGTGTCAACATCAAAATGCAATTATCTTCCGTTTCCTTTAATTCATCATCATAATAACCATTTTATTGAAAATTAAAAAACATAGTTAATAATATTTGTCTAAATAAATATTTACAATCCTCTCTCCTCAAAGCCAATTTCTTTGTATGATATTAATACAGGGGCTCGCCCAATATTGAAATGGACGAACATACCTTCTTAATTAACAGAGAAAGAGCTGTTGATTACTTGAACTCCCTCGAGAAGGTAATAAATATATGTTAATATCAGCCTCTTAAATTTAATTAATATCCTTACGTGTCATTTTCATTTTGTTTGATTTATCAATAACAATGTTCAAAATCCCAACAGACCCTCAGCGTTAGAGCCGGAAACCAAGGAAGTAAATTGGATGGATACACTATATACTTATTGACCTATGCCTAAATCCACGGGATTTACAGCTTTTCGTGTTTCTTGTCCTTTACGTTCCTTCATTAAAATAGACAATGATGGATTTTTGCTGAAAAATAGGTTTACGCTTAAATTTGTTTGGACGTAACCCAAATACTTAATAGGAGTAAAATTTTAATTGAAAAACATGCTCATAATCAAATATTAAAGGACACTTTTTGTTACTTGTATTGAAAATATTTTATTAAAATAGATAATATTAACTTTATAATCTCTCTGTTTCAAAAGGAATTCATCATAAGGGTTGATCAAATCATCCTCCATAAAACAACAGATAAAGGGAAATTGGGCGAACAGTTCTGTTTACTTGTATATGAGTTACATTATTTTTACAGTAAATTTTTATGATAATAAGTTTTTCTTTATCTTGTTTTATCATATTATTTATTTTCTTACTCTTTATAATTCTCTCCCTCGCTACATATCTCTCTAATTTATACAAAATTATAAATATTTATTATATAAATATAATTTATCCGTTTATATTGGGGGTCATGGGAAGATGATGATGCCAATACCGTTCCCAAAATTCCATGACTGGATCTTTTCATTAAGTTGACTTTGGTGATTAACGTGTCAGTGAGTAATATGACAGCTAGAGATAAGAAGAAAGAGTGGAATACGCAACATCTATCTATGCATGTGACCTGTCTTTGCCTTTTAGAGCCTCCACAGATACACGTCAGCTGCAATTTGTTGTTTTCGCATTATCTACTGTAGATAATTTATTTTATTTAATACTAAATATGTATTATTTTAATAAAATGTTTGTAAACAATTTTAAAAAAATATTCAGTTCATCCGACTAAAGAAGAGAAATAAAACAAAAATATATATTTTCTAGCCCAAACAGACACCAATTGGAGGCTGAAATTTTGAAAGGAACTATTTTTATTTACAAAATAATGTATTGGAATCAACATCATCACCGAAGTCTTATTCTTATGAAGTTATAACTAGTGATTCCTAGTTTCCAATGACATCAAGATAGAATAGTTCCAAATCCTAAACCAATAGCTAATGATATTTTAAAAAAAGACACGATAATATGAAGTTATAATCACCAAGAAGATTGTTCCTTTCCAAATAAAGCTAACAAGTTGTCAATTTGCCCATTAAGATTCATTCAAAGAGACATTCATGTATTCCAATTTCATAACAAGGAGATATATCTTTGGCTAAAGTTTATGTTGTCAATTCACTATAGAAATAATAAAACCAAGGAGTTGAAAACCATTGGCTTTACGTAATTTTCTGTCAAAGGCCTGCTTAATCTTTCACGATTCTCATGCACACTTGGCCAGTAAGGAAGTGCTTCCAAGTTGGCTGCGCTGATTCCATGAGGAAACTCCGGTCACAAATTTGAATGAGATGTAATTTTCTAGTACAGAACTACATTTTCTATTGCTTAAAAGCTTAATATTTTATGAATCATCAGATGGACCTACCTTTACAGTTAATTTTTGAAGGATTGACACAATTAATGATGATGGATGACTAGTTCTCCTGACCTTGTAACTTGTCTGAGTTCAGGTTTTCGTAAATGATCAATTTCTGAATTGGGATCCAGAACACAGAATCAAAGTCCGAATTGTATCTGCAAGAGCTTATCATTCCCTATTTATGCACAATATGTGAGTAATGAGACAAATTACCTATCTTCTGCATCCATAGAAATAAATCTTTGAACATTACCACATAATTCTTTACAATCTTAAGAACAAAGTTTGATAGGCATTAAGTATGCTAGAACAGTCAAATACTCAAGTATGCATGCCTATAAGAAGAAAATTTTGACAGGTGCATCCGACCCACTCCTGAAGAGCTAGAGGAATTTGGAACTCCAGACTTTACTATATACAATGCAGGACAGTTCCCTTGTAATCGTTACACGCACTACATGACTTCATCTACTAGCATAGACATCAACATAGCAAGGAAAGAAATGGTGATCCTTGGCACGCAATATGCTGGGGAAATGAAGAAAGGTCTCTTTAGCGTAATGCACTACCTCATGCCCAAGCGCAATATTCTCTCCCTACATTCTGGGTGCAATATGGGCAAAGATGGCGATGTTGCTCTCTTTTTTGGATTATCAGGTGCAGATATACGAGTTCCTTCAATAAGGGAGTCATTACTTGAAAATCAAGTTTGTATCCTGTTGAGTTTTCATTAATCCCTTTGATGCTGTGATCCTCATAGGTACTGGAAAGACTACTCTTTCTACCGACCATAACCGGTATTTAATTGGAGATGATGAACATTGCTGGAGTGAAAATGGGGTGTCAAATATTGAAGGGGGTTGCTATGCAAAGTGTGTTGATCTTTCAAAGGATAAGGAACCGGACATCTGGAATGCCATCAAATTTGGGACAGGTAACAATCTCATATTCGACTAAAGAGTTGCTCTTAAATACAGTCTCTATGGCGCCACCCAACCTGACCGATAATTATTTTACCTGCTTCTGTTTGCAGTACTCGAAAATGTTGTTTTCGATGAGCATACTCGAGATGTAGATTACTCAGACAAATCTGTAACCGGTAAGTATAATGAAATAAATGTGGTCAAGGAGGTTATGTTCGTGGATGTCAAAAGGGTAAAGCCGAATCCTATACAAAGTGAGATTACAGATGGACTCAGTACTAATGCTTTGTGAAAAATCACTTATCGTTTTATCAATAAGGAAGTTGAGTGGTCGGGGTGAATCACACATCTTTCGCAAGTATGCTGTTGTTGGCATAAAACTTTATGCATTAAAATTGCACAAAATATTAACACTGACAGGATTGCTATGAATTATGAAATAACAGAGATTCAAATCATTGGTTATATTACTATTTTTTGGATTCGTGTTGAATAATAGCTTGGAGCTTTTGGTTTTTCAGAGAACACTCGTGCAGCATATCCTATTGAGTACATACCCAATGCAAGGATACCATGTGTTGCTCCCCATGCAAAGAATGTCATCCTTCTAGCTTGTGATGCATTTGGGGTACTTCCCCCAGTAAGCAAGCTGAGCTTGGCCCAAACCATGTACCATTTCATCAGTGGCTACACAGCTTTGGTTGCTGGGACAGAGGATGGTATAAAAGAGCCCCAGGCTACATTCTCTGCTTGTTTCGGGGCAGCATTCATAATGATGCACCCTACCAAATATGCAGCAATGCTGGCTGAAAGGATGCAGAAGCACGGAGCTACTGGATGGCTTGTCAATACTGGCTGGTCAGGAGGAAGGTGTGGACTCGAAGACAAAGCATTTACATGGCAGTTTTCTCCTTGCTAAAACTAATTCTTCTTCCCTATAAATTGACAGTTATGGACTGGGCAATCGGATCAAGCTAGCGTATACTAGGAAAATCATCGATGCTATTCACTCCGGGAGTCTTTTGAATGAAAAGTACGCCAAGACTGAAGTGTTTGGGTTTGAGATCCCAATAGCAGTAGGAGGAGTTCCTTCGGAAATCTTGGACCCCGTGAATACTGTAAGTTGATGCTCAACGTATACATTTTTTCTGGCCACTACTTTTCTCATATCAAGTGTCAAAATTGGGTATGAAGTGCCTGATGTTAAGTATGCCTTAAATTGCAGTGGTCTGACAAAAAGGCCTACCAAGATACGCTCTTGAAACTGGCAAGTCTATTCAAGAAGAACTTTGATGGATTCATGACCTATAAGATAGGGAAAGATCAGAAGTTGACTGAAGAGATTGTCTCTGCTGGTCCTATTTTCTGAGAAGAGAAGATCGGTTTTAACAAAAAAACAATGTTCAGAATATTTCAAAGTATGAAGTGCCTCATTAATCATTTTCACGTGAGAATATTTCATAGTTTTTTGTTGGGTTGACTACAAGACTGTCCCTTTGAAATTGACCCTTTGGTCCATCAATCCGTATTGTTGCAATTCGCTCCTTTGTGCTCCTTCGATGATTGAGAAGTTCGGCATGCTATTGTCCCTGCTTTTTGTTTTCCTGAGAACTTTTACCCTTCAAAAGGGATACACTGGCTAGTTTTTTTTATTGTCACAAACTGTTTCACTTTAGCCGAAGAAATCGTTCCCGTTTAAGAATGTTTATTCCACATAAAGGCAGTTTTAGCTGTTATGAACTACCCTACACACGATTGAAGACAAACAGAAAGGCAAACGAACGAGAACAAAAACCTATAAAAACACAACACCATCCTAAAGTCAATAAAGAAAAGAGAAACAGACAAAAGATTGAGTCAACTGAAAGAGGAAATAAACTTTTCTGCTTTCACTAGACAAATTAAGAGCTTATCATCTTACCAACGTATTAAAATAGCTATTTGTTCGTACTTTTCACTTTCGGTAACATGTTTGCAGTTTGTGCCCAAAAATTACCTTTTTATTTCACCTCGAACTGTTTGTAGAGGTCAAACAGACGTTACTCAAAAATAAACTCGTAACTGGTACCCTAAATATTCTAAAACCGCTCACACAAAAATATTGACTACTTTCCTAGTAAAACCCAGTGGGAGACGTGGAGAATGCGGAAAAAAGAAACAGCAGGTTCATGCATCTCCAAAATAATTCACCAAGATGTATATATTAACGGCCAATGGATGTTTTCATTGCCCACAATTTTTCAGAACAAAGACCTACCATCAGCATTATAATTTTGAGTAAAGGAGAACGTGAAAACTCAAAAATTATTTCATCAAGTCATTGCACAAGGATTTGCAGTTATAACAAAGAACTAGAAGAGAATATGGGAAGAGGGCTATAAGGACAGGAAAAAAAAAACAAACTTGGTCGATCAACATATTAAGATAGATGGTAGACAAAACCAAACTCGTGCGGTATCAGATCACTTGTCTACAGATCAGAACATTAAGACATCTCTCTCAACAACTTCATTGCCAAACTAAAATTTAGTTATAGGAAAATCAAGTATATAACAAAGACATTTGCTGAATGATACACTATCAAAATTGTTGAATAATACCTGGCAAGCAATAGAAAATACTAATTTTCCCACAAAAAGAGATGCAAGAGTTACCCAAGTGAAGAAAACAGAGGAAGATTAATAATATTAGTCCTAAAAGTGATAAAGGTGGAACTAGGACCAAGCTAGCCCAAACTTCATTTTATTTAGAACTAAAGTCTAAACTAATGTTCTCCTTGCAGGTAAATTTTCTAACCATTATTAGCCAACAAATTCATCATTATCGATGTATAAAAGGCAATAGCTGATAATTTGATTGAAAATCAAGTTCAGATGAGAATCACTGATTCATTTGCCATGTTGCATCTGCAATATAAGATAATTTGCCAGAGTATGTCAATATCTGCGGATACATAGAGGATGATCCTGTAAATTTACTATCATACAGCTCATTTTATTTCCTTTGACCAATCCAGTGAAAAATAAAAACCTGAGTTCTACTTTTACAGCTTCGGTGAGACATAGGATAACTAAGATTCAGTTGATGTGGTTGCATCATCTTTGTGCTTGATCATACCAGAATCCACAAGAATGGGTATCTCCGCAGCAAGCCACGGGGCAAGGCCTAAGCAAAGTGCATGTGCTATACCAAATCTGGGGCTGAAAAAGAAAGCCAATGATAGAAATATATCATTATTTAGAATTCAGTAAAACGGTGAGAGGGTGCTCATCTAAAATCTAAAGTCACAAAATTAATGTCATTAAATCACCAAATGTAAGTTCTTTATCTTCTTAAGGAACTTTGCAGTTTTAAATCTTTGATATGTCGCTATAAAAAAGAAAGAGATTGCAGCAGTAAATAAAACAATCTCAAATCACCATTCGAATACCATTCTTGAAATTGAAATAGTAAGCACCACTTCAAATTTTGCTACAATGAAAGAGCATTTGGAAGAGCTTATGAAAGTGGATTTCAATAAGTTTCGAGGAGAGACTAATAAGTGTGTTAGTCAAGTTTACGAATAATCTCTCAACTGATCAGAACTTATCCAATAAGTACTTAATTAAGCTATTTACCAAATGTGCCCTAAAATTAAGTGCAACTTTAAACTTAAGGTGCCCTTGCAATGAGGAAGGAAGATGTTCAGGTTGGTGATGTATATATTATTCAGCTTCATATTGATTGATCATTAAGATTATCCGAGGATTCAAGTCGATTATTATTGGAAACCCGATAGTCCCTGGTTCTAGCTGGTTCATTCTACATCGATTTCATATTCAGAGCAAGGTAATGTAAGAGAGAGATACATACAATTGTATACTGTAACAATTTTTAGTGAATCATATAATGAAACTCTTAGTCAAAACCTAGCGAGATCATAATCAAAATCCTATAATTATATATAAAAAAACAGCATAGCAATTCCTAGTAATCTAACATAGACTCCTAAATAACGATGGTTATCCATGCCATGGTTAGTTTACTGTGAAAAAGAGAGTACCAGTTTTTGGCCCAAAGAGGCTTGAAGTGCACGGTCAAGCAGATCTTTCCACCCCTATACATCTGAAGAAAGAAGGGAGCAAATGAAACGGTGAAAAGAGAGAAATTTAGAAGAAAAAGGGAAAAGAAAGGGAACCTTCTGGGTCTTGCCGTCCAATTGAGGGAGTTCAAGTTCGGGTGCGGTGGAAGGGTAAGTGACAGGAATATCGAATTGGAGGTCGAATTCATACTTGAGGAGGTTGTAGACGTACCAGCATTTGCCGGTCCAACGAGTGCCTTCGGGATTTGCGGCGGAGATACGAAACCAATCGTTGTCGTTGGATTTGTTCATCTGAGTGTAGGCTATGAGAGCTTTGTACTCTTCCTTCAGCCTCTGCGTCCATGCCGCTCCGTCTCTAGGACCCGCCTTTGTCGTTAGCAAGGGGATCTGTGTCAGCGTCGACTTCGTATTTGGGTCCCAACCTTCCATCTCTCTCTCTCCGCTTACGACCCACGCTCGCCTTAGCTTTCCCCTTTCTCTCTTCCTCTTGTTCCTTCTCCCTTATATTTTACTACATTTTTTTTTATCATTTATAAAAAGTTATTCTTAAATTAAATTAAGTAAAACGTTTTTAGTACTCAATAATATGTATATATATATATATATATAATAAAAATTGTTTTAATCTCAATGATCAATTGCTTTCATTTTTAACTTATATAATTGTAGACTACTATAAAATTTATTATCACTTAAATATTAGTTATCTTAAATAAATAATTTGACTTTTACATGTTAAATGATATGAAACATTTAATAATAATAATAATAATAATAAAGTGACATGGTTTTATTTTTTATAAATTTATCAATTTAATTTATAAATGATCATAACATCGAATATATATATATATATATATATATATACATACACGGTTGTATTTCGTATCATTCTATTCCATGTTAGTTTGTTGTGTTATTTTAATAATTCAAAAATTTAAAAAGAAGCTCCGAGTCAATATTATCTTTCACATTGTGAGTGGATGTAAATAAAATTAGTGCAATGATTTTGAGAATGAAGATCAAGTTTTCTTTTGTTCGTTGGTGCAGTCATCTAAAACTTGGAGTGAGGGATTGCGATAGGAGCAATATTTGTTTGATTAATTTTTATATTAATCAGTAGTTCAAACAGGGTCAATCTCTTCTGCTTACTTCTCTTTTTGAAAAGTTTCACTTTCTTCACGGTATCCTATATTGTATCAAATTAGGATGAGAAGCGTATCCAACTTATTGAATAGCGGTGGGATTTGTTGGGCGACCTTTGACCTAATGTTCACTAGAAGGAGCAACCTGTGAGATAGCACTTCAATGGCTCTACTACGCACTACTACGCACAGGGTTGTAGTTAGATACAAACAACTCTGTTACTAAGAAGATTCTCAATTGCAACACTGGGAACTTTGCAATGTCAAGGGACAAGTTATGGAACAATGGTGTAGTTTGTCTCATTATTTACTGACACGAGTTCTACATCAATAATATTCACAATTTGTAATTTTCGTTTAAATGCTTCAATTGTTTGGTTCATTACAGATCGCTCGATATCCAGTTTTATTTCAGATCAAACTCAAACTGGTTTGATCCAATACTTTTAACTAATTCGCTTAGTTGACTCATTTGTTGCTTTACTATTCAGTCCGGTATGCTCTGGGTCATTCACCAATATTCTAAGAAATTATTTTGTATTTAATTTTATATTTAAATATCTCTTTTTATCAATTTATATAATTTCTATTTTAAAATAGGAGATGAATCAAATATGTACTAAATATTAACAATTATATTTAAAGGAATCAATTTTAACAGAAAATATAAGGAGGTGTATTGGATTAAGATTATAAATAATATTTAGTTAAAAAAGTCTTGCAAATTTTAAAAGACTTTTGTAGAATTTTTATGACTTTTAAGATTTTGTAGCATTCTACAATATTTTTAAATCAAGATTTTAATGGATTTTATGAAATTTTATGGACTTTACAGAATTTCGTAAATTTTTGACATAAAAAGTTCAATATTTTTTTTATACATTCAAATTTAAAAATAGTCAAAGATAAAAATAATAAAAAATAACAATATTTAGATAAATAATAATAATAATTCTTTATAATATTATGTTCTCCTAAATAGCATTTACTTACATATTCGTAGTTATACTAGTTCTCTAAACATTAGCATATTGCTTTTGGATTTAAATAATAGGTTCAAAATTATGATATTCATTAACCGGTAATGTTAAAGATAAAAGTTTGTCCATCGGTTCAATTAAAAATCTATCAAAACGATATTATTTGCAAAGAAAGTTATGTAGTTCTACACATGCTAATACAAGTTCTATTTGTGTCTTAAATAAAAATGGATGTGCTAACTTAAAAATTATAAACCTTATTTTAAAAATACTAAATATTTTTTCGCTTACATTCCTTAAGGATGCATAATGAAGATTAAACAATTTTTTCTCATTTTCAGGGCTATGACCCTGACCTGTAAAATCTTGTAGATGATATTTTACCCCTCAAAATAGAGTTAAAAATTGACGTCGATTGGAAAATCAATCCACTAAAAATATTTATCTAATTACATATGTAATGTATATAATAATAATAATAATAATATTATTATTATTATTATTATCATTATTATTATTATTTAAAAAATAAGTACTTACCTTGAGTCACTTTAAGTTCATTCTTTCTTATTATAGCATTATTTAATATCTTAAAATCATGAGCCAAACTCTCTCACCTACTAAGAATGTACATGAACTCCAAATCAAAATTATAAGCTGCTAATACATTTTGTGATATATTTTCATGACAATTATGATAACTACTTAAACGGTAATGTTGAAGATGAAAGTTTGTCAATGGGTTCAATTAAAAATTCACCAGAACAATATTCTTTATAAATAAAGTTATGTAATGCTACACGTGCTAATACAAGTTCTACTTGTGTCTTAAATAAAAATGAAGGTGCTAACTTAAAAATTATGAACCTTATTTTAAAAATACTAAATATTTTCTCAATCACATTCCTTAAAGACGCATGATGAAAATTGAACAATTCTTTCTCATTTTCAAGGTTATTATCTAACCAGTAAAATCTTGTAGATGATATCTTACACATCAAAATAGAACTAAAAATTGACGTCAATTGAAAAATTCACAATTCACCGAGAAATATTTATTTAATTACATATGCAATGTATATAATATTAGTATAATAATAATAATATTATTATTATTTTTTTTTTATTATTTAAAAAATAAGTACTTACCTTAAGCCACTTTAAGTTCATTCCTCCTTGTTATAGCATTATTTAATAGCTTAAAATCATGAGTCGAACCCTTCCACCTACTAAGAACGTACATGAATTCTAACTTAAAATTACAAACTACTAATACATTTTATAATATATTTTCATGACAACTACGATAACTACTTACATATCGCATCTTCACCATTGGTAGAATATGTGTTTTGTTAACAGCTATAATGCAATCCTAAAATTTAGCATACATAACAATTTATCTTATGAAAAATATAAATATAGAAGTGCCAAATTTAATTATAATTTTTATGGTAAGATAATTAGTATATATCTTGAAGAAAGGGAAGAACTTTGTGCTTTCTCTAATTTTAGCTAGCACGGTTTATCTTATGAATAAGAATACTTATTAAATTTACATCTTACCTAATAGGTACCTATATAATTAAAAATAATACTATAGCTCCATAAAAAACTTAACTGCTATATATATATATATATATATATATATATAAGGTACACCATATTATTTTTATTTTTTAGATATTTAAATATTCATTTATTCAAATAAAAAAATGCTATATGATATAAACAAATATCTCAAACTCAACAGTTAAAAATGTTAGTTAACTATTTAAAAATTTATAGTTGTTTGTAGAGATTTTATATCAATTTTAGCTTTCACCTTTCTCTTTTCTTGACGCGTGTTATAAAAAAATTATTACTTAAAAGTTAAAATTTTAAGAATTTTTTGTGTTATATATATAAAGAACAAACTAAACTAGAGGAATAGAATAATAATACTGAGCAGTAGTGCAGTATTATTAGCATAGAAAAATAAATGAAGAAAACAAAAGCATAAAAAAAAATGAAAAACTCACATGAAAATTCTTAAAGCACTTGAAAAGTCACTTCAAACGATCGTTTAAGATCTGATGGGTTTGAATGAGATTGTTTTATAAATTTAGTATTTATAAATACCACTAAAAAGTCATTCAAAATCCTTTTAATACAACAATTCTTTAAAATTCTTGTAATTTTTAATATCAATGAATTATTTTTAAGTTGTAAAGGGTTTTAAATAAATATCAATGAATTTTAATAGACTCTTTTAAAATCTTAAAAATTTAGATTGAATACTACTAAATTATTTTTAAGTAACATAAAATTCTAATTAAATATTAACAAATTTTTTTACTTAAATTTTTTTTAAATCTTATAAAATCATAAACTAATACATCTCCTAAAATGTGAGGAAAATAATTATTCAACTAAAAACAAAACAATACTATCGGTCTATACAAATACTACTATAGTTTATAAATGTAAAAAGCAGAAGGATGAATGAAGCAAACACGAAAATAAAAGGTCACTCGCGGTTAAAATCAACAAAGTATTAATACAAACTGGGAAATTTCATGAGCTAAAATTTGAGGGAAAATGGGTCCATGAAATAACTTAATTAAGGGGCAGGATCTTCTTACTTACTGTGTTTGAAAATATTTTTAAAATTTAACTAATTTAATAAGTAGTTCGAGTTAATGAAAAAAAGGTTATAGATCTTTAATGTTGCTGACGTGTTGCTGAATTGATTTTCACGCTCCTAGTAGTATTTATGATAACGAAACATGGTTATTTTACCTGTTATGATTATGTTATTTTGATTGATGAGTCAAATAAGCAATGCAACCTGTCTAAGTCAAACTAAGGGTTATTTTAATCTCACGTTTCACCCATTATCAACGGGTATTGTTTTAATTATGACAAATATAAATTGCGAAATTATATGTTTCTAATAAACAACCGTGCAAGAAAAACAATATTTCTTCTTCATATTTTTTTAATCTATTTATATATATATAAAATATGAATAAATAAAAACTATTTTAAAAGCCATATTAGACCACAACATTTTTAAAAGTTAATTGTCTTATTAATTGTGTAATGTGTCTTTTGTTTATTAAACATTCTTTTACTATAAGTTTTTATCGCTTAAAATTATTTTTATTCAATACAGTAAAATATATTTATTAATAATTAAAATACCTTCCATTTAAAAAAATATAAAAAATTAAAACAATTAAAAAACATATTATTATTTTTTAAATTATATTAACTTAATAATTATTATTCAATGCAGGATAACTTATTAGTTTTGATGAGTCCAATCTTTCACTTATTGCTCACCAAATTAAACATAATCAAATAGAATGAAA